GCCAGGGTTCCCCTCCTTTCCCCGGTCCACCCCCCCCTGAAATTTTGATAAAACAGCCCCCAACAATAGTCTCTCTTCGAGCCGTTGATCTTTCGGGAGGCGTGGCGCGACCGTGATGCTGTTTCTGTGCCCGAGGTTTGGTCGCGCCTTCCCCTTTTGCTCCCACTCCACTCCACTCCACTCCACTCCACTCCACAGGAGCGGCTCCGGGGTCTCCGATGCGCGGCGGTCTCTTGTTCCACCGCCCAACCATCAGTTCATTAAGTCCGGTCTCGGCTCGGCCAATAGGGGCGCGCTCTCGGGGCGCACACCCACTGATCCCACGTAGGCTGGTCCCCGGCTCGGCCAATGAGGAGGCTGGGAAGGTGTGGGCTGGTCTCGTGCCTGCTCGGTTCGGTGCAGAGCGCCTAAAACGAGGGATTTCTCAAGGTATGGGCTGTATAAATGCGCCCTCGATAAAGCGCTTTGCCAGTTGTTGGAATGTAAAAGTCACACAGACTTGGATCGCCTGCTTCAAGCCAACTGTGCCTTTTAGTAACTCAAAATGAGGCTAATCATTGACAGGAAACATTGTAAGTAAACGACACTAATGTTAAGGCGACCCTAGTTTTCATAATCAGTATGGTTTTCTCTGTCATTGGCTAATTGTAAGAATCTTTATTAAGGAATGAGGAAGAGTTTGATTAGGCAGCAGGGATAACTGTCTGAAAGTTACTGTGCTTGGGTAAAAAAAAAAAATCTTTCCTATCCCTTCAATACTATAAAAGCCAATGTATTTCTCAAAAATCGGTCTCACCAGCCTTTGTTTTGGGGTAATGTGTGTGGGTGTAGCAGCTTCTTAAAAGTTCAGAGCACTTTAGCATGATAATCCAAAATAGTAATTAGAAGTACGGAGTGTTGAGTATTGTAAATATGCTCTAAAAGGGCTGTGGGTGCATGCTGCTAAAACAACAAAATTAAACAGCTTGATCCGAAGGATATTTACTTGGAAGTCAGACCCTGTTTTATTCAATGTGGCCATTGAGTCAGTATATTTAGATTTAACCCCATTGAGCTGAAAATATTTGATACAATTTTGATGGCTTTTTTTGCTGGGTTTTGAGAAAGTTCAACTGCTTTTTCAGGCAACTGGCTGAGCCAAAAAATGTTCACTCATCCTTTCACTGAAATGAAATGTTTAAGGTATTGTTTTCTCATTATATTCTGTGATAGGTTAGGACTGTTACAAGGTAATGTGGGGTGTTTTTTTTAAAAGAAAGCGTAGTCCAAAGCTGGATAAAACAAGGAAAGGTTAAAGAAAGTAGAGTTCCCATTAAAACGATGTACATGAAGATTTTATTACCATTAGAAGCATTTCTGGGAATTGTTACATTTATTAGAAATGTCTCTGATAGGTGGACCATAGAGACTTGGGGTTTAAATCCAGCATTTGCTCTAGAGATTGGTGTTTTTCATTTAATACTGTGGTATCCTATCTGTGATGATTACTTCTGCACGTGAAAGAACCCCACTGAAATTAATGGAGCTCTAGCCTTACATAATATTTTTTTTAAAGTATTACAAGATTTTAAGCATGTTCATCTTGAAGTGAGTCCTTTGGAGAAGCTTAGCAGTGTAACCTAAGTCTGAGTTTCAAAAAATCCTCAAGGAAAAAGAAGGAAGTAAGCATTTTCAGAGCAATCCTTTATTCTGTAGCAATTTAAATAGGCCTGACTTTACGGACTGCGTGATCACTTCAGTGCCAACTAATTTTTTTTGTTTTTTTCCCTTGGAACGGGTGAGAATATATTTGTGGTATATTCTCATATTTATGCACTCCCATTATAGTAATAAAATAAGGCTGATACTGCTTTTTTATTATCTGAAAAACGATCCTATCTGCAGCTGCTTTACAGTGGTATTCTATTAGTAGCTTGTTTTTCATTCATTCGAATACTGGTAGTGTAAATTTATCTTATTTTTCTAACTTCACTGTGCATAACCTTTAAAATAATTTAATATTTGTAGCTCTTGTTTGCAGTTCTCAAATTTTTGTTGTCATTAGGCAGCAAAGCTAAAAAGAGCTTTTATGATTTTAGCTTGTACAATTGCTGGTGGTGTTTCCTTTAAATCCTGTGTTTAAGAATAATAGTATCATGTGGTCTTCAGCTAATATCAGCAAACAGTGGAGGTTTGCTGATATTAATCTTAATCTACATTGAATGACAGAATTCTTTGTGAAGGATGGTTTGAGAGCTCCATGGGTAAAGGACTTTAATTAGAAAAAAATATTAATTTACATTCCACATTTCTAAAGACAATAAAAAGAATGAGAAGGAGTAAGGAAAAATGGTGATAAAACTTCTAAACTGAGATTCCTAGAGGATTTGGACTATTTATATTGAATAACAAAATAAGGAGTTTCCACTGAAAAGATCTGTGTAAAATGCAGTAGTGAATAATCTGATCTTTCTGGTTTGGTATGATTATTTAAAGGTCAGTGTTAAAAAGGGGCTTGCTAGTTTTGTATGTGAAAGTGCATTACAAATTACATGAGGTAACTTGTGGTGATTGCAGCTTAATTATGAGACTACCTGAAATCCATTCTTGGAACTCCAAGTTTGGTTACTTGTATTATGCAAAAGATAATTGCTGTCATTTGTTTTTTAAGTTGAGGAGGAAGAATTGTCTCAGTTATATGCATGAAAGTCCCTTCAGGTTTTATTTAGTAATAGTAAGCATCTAATAGACAGCCAGTTTGATGAAATGGTTTAAGGTGCTGGACTAGAAACCAGGAGATGGTGAGTTCTAATCCTGCCTTAGTCATGAAAGCGGGCTGGGTGACTTTGGGCCAGTCCCTCTCTCTCAGCCCACCCCACCCCACCCCATAGGGTTGGTGTTGCCAAGGAAATAGGATATTGGGAGCATTATGTATGCTCCTTTGAATTGTACAATATAAATGCAGGATAAAAATCTAATAATAATAAAGCACTATCGACAGTGGTGGAGACAGTGTTAATCCAGGATAATGAAGGGAATATTATTCTCCAGATTCATGCTAAAGAAGTGATTAAATGTTTGCTTCTGGTGTTAGGACTGAAATGGCCTTGTCAGTTAGGGTGACCAGGTGATCATTATGGAAAGCATCTGATTTTCTAACTGATTATGCCCAGCCTATTAAATAGAATCTGTTGCAGTAGCTCTCCCGAGAATGGTTGCGGTGTAATTGTTGTGGATGTTGTACAGCCAAACGTGTGTCCCAAAGAGGAAGAAGAACGAGTTCAGAAGTAGCTTCCAACATCTCAGAGCCTTGTTTTCAATGAATTGACCCTTTGAATAGCTGGGTGTTACCCTCGGAGCTTCACCCTTGTACACGAGAGAATGCCACCATGTGCCTAAGGCAGAAAAGACACAGCATTGTGTCCCGTGTGATAAACCAGAGCACTTACGGCTGATGCCTACAAGTTGACCATCCCTGTTCCAGTATAATGTTAGATCTGGATGTGTATCTTTCATGTTTTCCCCGATGACACTTTTTGAAATGGCAGCATGGGACCTGCTTTTCTTGCTCATCTAAACAAATATCACTTTTAAATGTTTATGTGGAAAGTTAGTGCAGATGACTGAGCACAAGCGATTCCCTTGAGAAGAATACTCACTAATTTTGCTGCAGTTTTGGACATCCCTTTTTCTGGTGTTGCATCCACACACCCAAATTTAACTATTGTATACAGTAAGCAAACAAGCACGTTCTCTGGAGTAAAATAGTGCTGAAATTGATATCAGAGGTTTGTGCTCTCAGTTACATTCTTGTAAGCTATGTTAATTAATTGGAGAACTACTGACTTCTGATTTAATTCCAACCTTGGCTTTCAACACAGTCATTAACATCTATAGGAACCCCCTTTCCCCATGCTGCATTAAATAAACTCTTTCTTGTATTTTGAAAATTATAAATAAAAATGTTAGTAAAACATATGTAGTTCATAACAGTTCTTGGCAACACTTGGACTTGTCCAAAGGTGTGCTCATAAACTGTGTTAAAGATTCTCTTGCCTTGTCCATTAATGAACTTTCCTCTATATAGTTCAGCTGTTAGCATCTATCAAGTTAAATGACCCTTGTAATGTTTTGGATACTTTCTGTTTACTTAGTCCTTGTTGTGATAGAGGTTGCAAATGTGTACAATTTCAGATGCAATTATGTTCCTATAATTGAATAGAAGATTTTTTTAAGCACAGAAAACTTAATATTGGGGGAAATGTTTTTAGTCTAGCCTAGCTTTCTTCCTAAATTCTTTCCTATGTATAAGATTTTTTTCCCATAATAGATAATTGCCATCCTATGAATTCCATCCAGCAGGCTTATGCAACAGCAGTTAGACCCAGGATTACTATACCAATGTGAAGTGAATCTTAGTCCATAATTTTCTTTGTATTTACAGGACGCAATTTAGATTTCTAACATCCTGTAGTGATGCTGAGTATCATATTTATGCATTATGCTGTTTAATACTACTGAACTGTTTTAAATATAATCTGTTAGAATCTTCACATTACATAGTTATCTTATGATTAATTTTATGCTGTCCTGTTTGAATACTGTAGTGTGTAAAACTGGATTGTCTTGCACCAATGCAGGTTTTATATCTGATAAAACAATAGTAGTGTTGAGTTTCTTCTCCTCCCATCTCTCAGACTTTTATTAATATTATGGGACAAGGTTGGTGAATTCCAAACTAGTCCTTCTGAGCAAAAGAAAATCAGTTCTACACAATGGCATCTTAGTGTAATGATTAAGGATTGTGTTAAACATGCAACTGGTAAGAAACAGTTGCTCCTTTTGCTTTATTTTACTGGGAGTTGAAATATTTCAACAATAAAAGGCACATGTTTTTTTTTAAATGAGAAATTACAAAAGGGGGAAATTTATCCTAGGTCCTAGAAATCTTGCTGTTTTAAAGGCTACTATCTAGTGCTTTATTTCATCAGAATGGAAGGTAAGTGCTTACAACAGTGAACACCAGATTCTTGCCTTCCTATTATTCCCAACAGTTAGACAAATGAATTGGAGAACATGAGGTTAGGGTGACCTGGAATAGCCTAACTTCTGGCTTGTTATGAATATAGCCACGTGACTGCCAGACATGAAAGAAGAAAGTAGAAATACACATACATGCATACATAGATACATACATAGCAAGTCTAGCTCTGTCGTACTGTTGTTTATTTTCCTTGGCTCAGATATGGGTATTACATAAGTATAATTTGAATTGGTTTCATGAACTCAGTGGGTCTTCCTTTGCCTTATGTGCCTTCTGGAATAATACCAAGTTTGGCTGATCAGGATGGAAATTTATCCCTAGAAAGTTGTTTTTTACCTCTTGAAATGGGTCTCTGTGCTTTGAGGGTTCCATCCATTGAAGTTTCTAGGTAGATAATTTGGTTTCAGTTGAATATTTTGCCTGGGGCATCATACCAAATTAATCTCTGGCATCTTTCCCTATTTTTGTTTGCTGCCTACTAGGGACCTGTGTGTTTTGCCCAAGGAAAACGACAGATCTGGGTTGCAGCCAATCTGTTTGTATTCATCA